GCATAAAGCTGCTGTTTCTGCTGATCTCTCCTCTATAATCTAGTATCCCCGCTGTGGGCCTTAAAACAACAAGTCCAAAATAAAAAGAATTAGGGCTTCACTCTTCATAGTTCAATGTTATCTGAGGACTCTTCAAATACTGGAAAAGATAGTGTATCTGTGTTTGTCTGAAATTCACCAAAGCCCGTGTGGGGACATTTTGATTGGTGTAGTGGTAGCCCTATTTTGTATATAGATGTTGATGTCCTCTGAGATCCGTGTCCTTCGTATATGTTTACAATCTATCTATACTTTTGTCATCCTGATTGTCCATACTGTTATTTTACTATGTTGGTCTATTCGGTACATATGAAATCTATTGGATGTCTCTGTGTTTGTCCTGGAAGAGAGGTTCCTCCTCCCTAAGGTTTCTTCCATTTGTTTACCTGTTAAAGAGTTTTTGGGTTGTTTTTCCATATCTTGAGGGTGTTATACGCTGTACGGATAGTAAAGCCCCCTGAGGCAATTTGAGATTATTAGTATGAAGGGCGACTCTACGTGTGCTACTTATGTCATACACTTTTTGTATTTGATTGTTGTTCTTAGGTAGACTATTATAGCAATTATCTCAATTATATTATCTTGATGATCACTTGATCAAAAAGTTTAATTAAAGCATGCAGTACTTCAGTGGCTTTAAGAGTAACTTTCAAATACAATATGTTATAATATAAATAATATACCCATACTCATAACATTTCTTATTTAATTGTAAACATTTTGGGCCATTTCAAGCACTATTTTGACCAAAATAACACAGCTAATTCAGGAGTACACATATGTATTGGGTTTTACTTTAAAACAAACAATAAAATGTAACAGGTTTCTTCGCTCTCAATGGGGTGGTGATGGAGCAGTGGATAAGACACATGACTTTGCGAGGCCTGCGACCTCTGACATAAATAGCAATTGTAAGTCGCTTTTAGATAAAAGCATCAGCTAAATGAATAAATATAATAATAATATATATATATAATCACATTCATTGCATTTGAATGGGTTACAAGTCATAAAAATAGGCATTTATAATGTGTGCAACATTGTCTTAGAAATATGATTTTGCTGATTGATGAATAGAAGACTAAGGAAGTGTGTCTGTCTGATTGGTTGTTTTTTATTTTTTGTAGATGGCGCCTCCTGCATGGACATGCTTGGACTAATGTGGATGGCACTTGTCCTCACAGTGACAGTGGAACTGACGTGAAACCCCTCATCCAAGACACTCTTATTCACACACACACACTTGCCCTTCTCAAACAACATTCATGTTCACACATCCAACCCCCCCCCCCACACACACACACACACACACACACTTTCCACAAATCCTGCAAGCCTTCTCCAGTCATCAACAGGCCCTTCATGCGTCAGTCGATCAGGAAACAGTGCCACCACTGGATGGCGCTCCACAGTTTTGTAACAAAATAATAACCAAGATAATGATATCAAAAGAACAACGTGATGAACCTGACAATAACCACCTCCTATATAGCCCTGCCCAGTTACACCTTTTTTGTTTCTTATCCCAAGTCTGCCTGTTGATCAATAAAATCAGTTGATTTGAAATGGAAAAGAAAAAAGCATTTGGATTTTATTTTGATGAGTCAAAATGTCATTGGTGTTGACTGAAATGTGAAAAGCGGAACTGGCTTAGGCTGCGCCACCTTATCAACCACACCCATCTGTTACATGTCCTGGGATGCACCTGATTAGCAACAAGCTGATAAACCACGGGGGAACAAACACAGATGCTCCAGGAGAACATTCTTTTTTTATTAATATACAAGTATTCCTTTTTCCTGATGGCTTGGAATGTACAAGAGGATTTAAATGCATTGAGAAACTAGAAAAAAAATCTCCTTTTTGAGTGTATTTTGTGTATATCAGTGTAAATATTGAAAATAATAAAAGAGGTTATATGGGTTATGGTGAGGGATGGTTACTGAGGTAGCTGGAGTTTACACTTCTCCACCTTTGTTTGTACTTCATTGAACACCGTTTTCAGAGATAATTCTTGACTGAAAGGACAGAATCATTGACAGCCTTTCTGTTTTTCATTTGGGCTTTTTATATCTGTATGGCAGGTCTCCAAGGACAGAGTAAAAAAAATTATCTAACATATGTCTGCTGTTTGGGGTTGTGGTGCATGTGACGTTTGAAGATTCTTTCTCCTTTTGGTGTGTTGCAATTTGACAGCACTGCAACTCATTGTCACTGGCCTGTAATCAAGTTATTTACTTGTGACATACTATCTTAAGTGACCTACATTGTGTACAATACGTAACTCTTACCCAGACATTTACAGTACCAGTAGGATCATTTTAGCCCCCATTCCAGGGAGGTGCTCACTTGGGGCAGCGTGTGTAAACAGGGTTGTTGCATTTGTTTCATTTCACCTGTATTAAAATGGAGAGATTATAAAACTAACAAGCCTTGACTTTACTTATAACACTGTGTTCGATGTTCAGTAGTAGATGTGCGTCTTCAAGTCCTTTTTGACGTTGGGTACAGGTACGGTATCTAATATTGCACATTCCTGCATGTCTAGATTGTTGCAGGAACTGTTTATAATTTAGTTTGTTGATAATCTCTCCACATAAGGGAAATTTGAAGGACAATCTGAGTGAATTAGAATTGGTATTGTGCTTGATAATTACATGCAAGCTCCACGAACTACTTTGATTCAGGTATATTTCTCATTATACTGACCCCAACATGACTCGAAGGAGATTCTGACATTGCTGTTAACCCTTTGCAGTTTGTACTCTCTCACACAGTGAAGGGTAGCTTAATGCAGAGTAATCCTACATTTTTTGGACTTCACAAGAATTGCAATTTAAGCTATTCTAAGGACAGAACATGTATTAAAGGATTAAGGTTTAAACCAGATGGGAGGTAAGAGGAGACATTTTTAAAGCTTAGTCGAATAGAAAGGATAGACCTATCCGTTTGGGATATCGGCTCACCTTGCCAAAGTACAATCCATATTCGTGCATTCTGGAGATGAGAGCTGCATAGCACAAACATTATTAACAGATAGTCATATGCACTTTGAATACATTTTTTTCCAGTGAGGGAAGCAAAGGGCACCAATCCTTGTCCACCCACTGTATAGCATTATAACTGAGCTATTGTTTTAATTTTGATTCAAGAGGCACTTCTGTGCTATTTTGCTTTTTTCACTAACTTCACATTCAAGAGAGAAAAACAGGTCCATCGCCTTTTCTGAATGCATTAGAGAATGTGCAAATTGTGTTTATATATTTATCATGCCAATAGAGTTACATCATAACTTTGCGTTTGTGTGCATATGAGCATATGCATGTATTACAAATGTACACAAATTAATAATATGTATGAACACTAAATATAACTTCAAATTCATTAAATTAGTTCAATGCTGTTCTGGACCAAAAAGATCCAACAGGCAATAAATATGCAACTTTATTACATTTTCTGTTACCCAGAAACAAAGACTTCCTATTTTAGCCATGGGTGTGAAGCATTTAATTTTTCCCTTCAGTGGTAATTGTTCTTAAATACAAGGACTTCAATTTTAAAATAAGAGCTAGCTTTTGTGTGCACCTTTTATTCACATTCAAAAATCCTGTTTGCTCATTATAAGTCAATGCTGTGTAGGTTTATTTGTGAAAAGGTTGGATGACCCTTACGGATTAAGTTGGAGCCACCTCATCTTCGTCGGTTAATCTTTTATTTCCTTAACAAATTGATGATTTAAGAAATGTGATGGTTTTATTTTTTGTTTGACTACATCCGTCCTCTGCCTACCGTGCTTCACTAATTTGCACAATTATGACAGTAAAAAGCTAGAAGAACCTTTTAACAATGTATTTTGTGCCTTCTGTTCTTTTTCAGTCAAATGTTGCACACTATCATGGACGGCACAAGCAAGAGGTGAAAGTGCACATGGCTGACAATCATAGACATAATTTTTCTTAGCAGTGTTCTGAGTAGTTCACCTGAGCTGGGAAGAATGGTGATGATAAGAAGCTGCCTCTTTGGCTCATCTTTGAATTATTAAGTAGTCAACCATGCTTGCAGAATCCAGTTTCCTTTATGTCATCTGCAGACTTGGCTATCGAATGACCAAACAGCTGACACACTCTCTGTATGCCTCTCCATGTGATGTACCTTTAAAATGCTCCACAGAGTGCTATTAAAATAAACACTGTTCTTTGTTGACCGCAGCCTCGCTCAAGCGTATTATCAGCAACACAAACTACAGCCTGACAGCGGCGACTGAGTGACATGGCTCCCATGTGACAGAAATGTATGTTTGCATCTCAGTAAAGTGTAAGGAAATTAATAACAGGTTTCTCTGCAGACACTCTTTCCATCTGGCATTATTTACAGTTCTATGTGTTTATAATTAAATATGACATTTTGTTGTTTGACAGAAATCTTCAGCCTTTCTTTACAGAGAGTAATTTAAGCATCTGCACTGGCATAGAAAAGGACCTTTGATCTGTGGCATGGCTGTGCAAACAGATGTATCCTGGTTATTAAGTATTTGATAAATGTCACCTATCATCACTCCCCACCCCTTATTCAAACCATGTTTTCCTCCTGCAGCTCTAGCCGTGCATTTGAGCAAGTTAAGGAGCGGGATCCATCATAATCTTTTTATGGACATTTTCAGAAATTGGTATAACAAGTATGACCTGAACCACTCCTGTTCACGTAAACACCTAGCAAAAGATCCAACAACAACAGCATAGCTCAAACAAAGTACGGATTAGAGTGTATTCAGAAAGTTATTGACCTGGTGATATTTGGATAGTTATGGGAAAAGCTTGGGTGAGTCAGCAAATTGCACAACCAAATGTTGATCTTTACATATTCTGTGTATGGTTATTGAAACTGCATCTGACTTGCCACAGGTGGTGCATGACAGTGCCCCGCCTCTACAGAGCCAGGGATGCAAATAGTACCTCTAGAGCTATCATTTTACACTTGATCCTTTGGGCAAAGAGGCGCAGTCATCAGATCATGGCAGCTCTTTTACAATGAAAACCAGGCAGCATGCTACCGTCAGATGAGACGCATTGCCAGTAACATTCAATAGGATCAGTCAACCAGTTGTCGCCACCAGCTATGCCCATTGCAGAGCTTTTGGGAGTCCAGCTCGACATGCAGCTGCTGTTGAAACTGGGTCTCTCTGTGGCCGCAGTGCTGCTGGTTTCTTGGGCCTACAGGTTCTACAGCTCCAGGGACGAGAAGAAAATTCAGATCTCTGTGTATGACGACAAAGAGCCAGAAAATGCAACCTGCAAAAACTGCAAGACGACACTACAATGTCGAAGCTCACCAAAACATGGCACCGATGATGGGGGCAAGCGACCCAGACCCTTGCACATAGACTCAGCCAATAATGACCTGACATCTGACAGCAACAAGGAAACGCCCGCAGAAGCTTGTCCACACCAAGCTAAAAAGAGTGAGGATGAATTTAGTATGTCATATGGTGACCAAGATATCAGCATAAAAGGCAAGATACTCACTCATCACAAGCAGGCAGAGGTTGCCACCAGTAATATTTCATTTGGATCTGCTTTGAACCTTCCTCAACCAACAGAGAGTGGGATGGCCAGTACAACGGGGCGCCGCTCCCCTTGCTTTTTGCAGAAGCTGGAGGGCAGTGTGGGTGTGGGCAGGGAGTTAAGGCAGAACTTGGAGCGTCAGGGAGCCTACTCCAGCTTCCTCTCCAAGGCAGAGATCAAAGTGGAGGATGCTAACGTGGTGCTGGAAGGAACAGGAGACCAGATTGTGCGCGGAAAGATATATGATTATTATGTTGAGTCTTCCTCTCATTCTATTACAGACTCAAATACTGTGCTGGGTCATTTTGAGAGGAACTCTGATTCACAGCCAGTGGAGTATAAAAGTCGTGGCAGCGGCCTCACAGAATCTCCTTCCTCTGTGAGCCCCATCATTATACGTGATCTTGTTTTACCACAAAGCACTGTTGAGGATCCCTCGTCGCTCAGATGCCTTAAGCTGAGGCACCCTGCTAGGCCTGTACTCCTACGCAAGGAGAGCTATCTGTCTGCAGCCGAGCAGTCTGACTTTCCCATTCCCTTTCTAACATCAAGAGTCTCAACTCCAATGACTCACTCTCTGGCATCAACCAGCGATGAGTCCATCTCTGTTCACCCTATGATCTGTGTCTCTACAGACAGCAAGGGCCTTAATGTAAGGGAGGGGGCAGATCTAGAGACAGTAGCAGGGGCACCATTTTTACACCTTCCAGCAAAAACTCTTGAGGGCACAGATTTGGAAAGCTTGAAGAGTAAACTTGATCTGGGTAACTGTTTGGAGATGCTTTGCCTGGCCAAGAAACATGGCCAGGCCTCTATGCAGCAAGCAGCCCTGCGAGTCATGTCGGACAACTACCTCCAGGTGCTCAGGGACCCCAACCTTTATGGTAGGCTAATGGCTGGTGAGCGGGAACAAATCCAGAAGCAGAGAATGAGAGGGAGAAGGTTTGTCATGGTGGCAGATATGGACCCTCAAGACTGGGCAAGGAACACAGGACTGCAGATAGCAGAGACAAAGCATACGAGGACATCCAGTTCAGTGTACTATTATGATGACAACAAAGATGCCTGGCATACACTCTGCCTGTTCCCACAGGAGGTCATCTCTAAAGCCTGTGCCATGTGCACAATGGATAACTACTTATTTGTGGCAGTGGGCTGCCAAGACACAGACAGAGAAATGACACCCTCAAAGCGAGTGTTTTGCTACAATCCTTTGACATCCATTTGGAAGGAGATCAGTCCTATGAATGAAGCCAGGCCCCGCTGCAAACTGGCAGCTCTGGAGGGCTACATCTATGCCATCGGAGGGGAGTGCCTCTCATCAGTGGAGCGCTACGACCCACGATTGGACAGATGGACATTTGTGGCTCCACTGCCTAATGATACATTTGCTGTGGCACATCACGTCACAGTGTGCAATGGAGAGCTTTTTGTTTCTGGGGGAACTCTTAGATATATGCTACTGCGTTACAGCCCCAAAACCAACACCTGGAGGTCAAGTGTGTTAGTAGGCAGCAAAGACAGAACAGTAGATATGGTAGCTGTGGGAAGATTTTTGTATCGGTTTGATGTTAATCCACTTCTGGGTGTCAGTGTATACCGTTACCATACAGTGGCTCGACTGTGGTATGAGTGCAGCTCCAAACGGCTTCAGCACTGCTCTGCCTTCCAGTGTGTCACAATGGATGACAAAATCTACTGTGTCAGCCGCCAGTTCACCATGAGGCTTGAGGCTGATGAGATCTCTCCTGCTTTCATAGATGAGAATTTGAGTGTCCTCTCTGCAGCAAAGGGCATACTTTTCCCCTTTGTCCTTTCACTCCCTGAAAAGAAGCCTCAGCAGACCAGTGTGTAACAAGGACTAAGTTTTCCATTGATGATAAGATTAGGTGGTGATAGAGTAAACCTCTAACAGCATGCTTAACATCGAGTTTCTTGTTGACTGACTTTCTTTACCCAGGTTTATGATCAGCCCAGCCAATCCCCAAATGCTAATGCAAAATTGTAACCATTGCGTTGTCATTTCTTTAAGGTAAAGGTACTAAAATTACCTTCCCACAAATCCACAGAGCTCCTTTATTTTCTTGGATTGGATTTTGCACAATGAAATGTGTGTTTCTTATGTTTCGTTCCCTGGCAGATGTAAAGTATTAGCCCCTTAATGGTAGTCAAACTACTATTTGCTTAGATTTACGCAGGATGCACTGCCATGTAAATTGTTTGCTTCTTTGATTTGCCACTCCTTCCAGCCATTAAATTAGTTTTATATCATCCCAGATGCTTAACCTCTTTAGCTATAAATATAATTCATAAAGAAGTTTCAGAGTAGATGAATTAATTCAACTCTAACATATTGTAGAGATTGGGTAGAATAGTGATAATCTATCACTATGCTCCACTGTGTAGGGCACAAATATAATTTACACAGTGGCCTGGATACAATGCAATTATCTACAGTTGCTCTTTAAATCTGACAGGATATAAATGTGTTTGTCATACAATATAAATAGGTAAGCTTCTAAAACCATTTGTCACTACTGTTGAAACTCTTTCAACACTCAGACTTGCAGTTATTTTGGTTATTTTAGTCACTCTTCTTTGGTGGCCAGAGAGAAGTGTATTTGTTTTACTCTTGACTGAGCAGATTATTTGTTCATGGCACCAACTAAATGTCTTTGTTTTGTAATGTATTGTTTAATAAACATAAAAGAAATATATGAACGTGTCATTTATTGCATATTAATTCACAATTACTGAAACATGGTATCAAGACAAATGTCTATTCCAGTATTTATGTGACTGATAACCAATAATAACATGGGAACAATCTAAACACTTCTTACATTTTTTTTTTTACAAAGTGTTGAGCAATTGTATTAACACAGGAAATTTTGCATAAGAAAAATATAAGAATTAAATCCCTCATTTTTTAATAATTTACAATCAAGTGATGATTTACAAAGTGTTTCACTATACTGTAACACTGAGGAGAAAGACACACTGACAGGTTTCAGAGAGTGACATGCTGCTATAGCACCATCATGTGGCTCATAAGGCAAACACAACAGTGCTTTGTGTAACATGTTCAGCAGACTTCCCACAACACGGAGGCGTCATGTGACGGAGGCATCAGCAACACAGTAGAGTGACTAACTAGCTAGCAGTGGGTGAAACAGAGGGCTTCAGCTGTACTGGAAGGCAGCAGGCAGGGGAAAAGGGAGGCAGACGCAGATGGTTGACCATCAAACATAAGCATCTTTGATTCTTCCTAATTAAACACTTTGATTCCCTGTAACTAAATACCTAATGGGATGGGAGTTAGACACATCCCTTCAGAGGTTGCCTTGGATGACTCATGGCTTCTGGTTTGCCTCAATGCCCAGGTCAGTTCTGGCATCAACACTTTATTATGTTTTCTACATAGTATCTAGGGTAATACTAACCGCCCATTTGAAGTTTCAGATATTAACTGTACAGAGAGGAAGAATTTGCATGTAATTATTCTCTGGAAAGGCGGACATAATTTACTGCCCCCGCCTTTGTCCTTGTAGTACACACACAGACATACACACATATTCATATAATATATAAACTGAAACAGTAGTCCTTACAGCAACATATTTTTTAAATTAAAGAAATGAACTTCAAAGCAGTAACACTTTGAGTAGAGCTTCTAAATTAACAAGTAGCATGTGGAGCAAGTCACAGTGTTGTCTCTAAACCTGTTGTGCTTGTGGAAGTAGGCTAACACAAGGATCTGGGATTTGTAGTAGCAAGCACCCTCTCAGATCCAGGTCCTTGTTGTTGTGATTGGCTGCATGGATGTGGCTAGAAAGCATGCGTGAAGCCCTGACAAAGCGGCTCTGGCAGAAGGTACTAAGTGGGTGCCTCTGGTATGCTGACCTGTACACAGTGAGTGACGGGAGTTGTGACTGCTGCTTTTCCAAATGATGCTTTGTGGACTGCAGTGGGCCAACATTGGTTGGAAGGGCTGTAAAGGAGCATAAGAGAAGAGAAAGTTAACTGCCATGTTACTGCAGCCATTAATTACACTGCTGACTGATTTGGAACAATAAAGGGCATCTGGGACCACCCAGATTTAATTGTTCATAAGCACAACTGGTGATGTGTTTTGTCCATACAAAATTGAATGTGTTGAAGTATGTTTGCTCTACACTCACAGCCCTGGTGCCTGGATGGTTTAATATATTATCCCCCATGTATAATTTGTACCTTTAGGCAGTGGTGGCCCTTAAAACTATGGTCTTACCAGAAATTGGCCGGTCAGACCTGTCAAGCTGCCATGTCAAGCTGTCTGGATGCCAGGGTCGCAGAATGGGCAAAGCATTTGTGTGCTTATGCCCGTAGCTCTCTTCATACTGCGTGAGCAAGTAATGAGAGGATGGTGGGACATAGTGGGCAAACAGCAGCTTGGATGGAAGCCCCTGGAAGACAATACACGACATAGCCTGTATGCATTGGCCTTTACTGGATTAAGATATAGAGGGCATGACCTATTCTTTTACAATAATCTTCAAGAGACTTACCATGTGACAGCAGCAAATTGCTCTAACTAGCCTTTAAGTGCCCTGTAGCACTGACTATTTTACACATTTTTCATGACTGCTGAGTCTGACCAGAAACTTGCTTTCATAAAGAGTTTTATCAGAGGCCTTTATCTTGGCCATCAATATTATGCAGAAGTGGCCACAATCTAGAGAAAAAAGCCCTGACTTGCAGGGTTGTGACAGACATTCAATTGGTGTTAATGCCACGAATGAGCAGTTAAAGGCTGACCTCAGCTCTCAGCAGGGCAGATCTTCTCTCAAAGACGTCTGGCTTGAAGTCCCAGTGGGGACGGTAGTCTATACGATTGGTGCTGTTGACTGTCTTTGGATCCCGAGTGAACTGTGTCAGACAGAATAAACAGAAATTGAAAAGAAGAGTGAGGATGGGGGGATATACAGGGACCTAAGCAATGCGCCCTGCGCAAAGATCAGCAAAGCTCACACTTCACTATCGATCCACACTGTTGTACAGTATTTCTTAAGTCATTTCTCCTCTCAGATCCTGAACCAGCAGCCCGTGGCCGAACCTCGCGTCAATGCAATTAGTCTCCAGCTCTCGCCTCTCCCACCAGGAGGCTGTGCTGACGTAGCTGAACTGAGACTGCCTAATCACTTTGCTATAGATTTGACTACCAACTGAGGTACTAAAAAAGCCTTGGAAGGCTGCCACTGGTTTGGCATTATGTTTTGGATCTGCAGCATGAAAACGTATAGACAGTCCGTGTTCTCACATTCAATGTAATTGTACGCTTAAATCATAACATCTTATTTTGGTACTGGCACTATAAGACAGTCTGCCCTGCATACAGGCTGGGCCCTGAGCCACTTCCTTCTGCTAACCTTCTGGCAAACGTTACATTATTGTATAGTAGATAGAAGTGAAATAGGCAATAAGCGAACAAAATGCATACCTGAATTCTCTCTTCAGCCCAGTTTCCTAACAGCACTTTATTAGCATACTTCTGCTCTCTTCTCCAGCCGGTTTGGGCCCATTTATCCTGTACCATCCCTGTTTGGTTCATGTTTTACTTGGTGTCAAACGTACCCAACCAGGGAAATCTGATGCCCTGTTAGAATATAGTTGGCTAGTCAAACAGATAGCATGTAGGAGCATTCACCTGGCCCGATAATGGCATAGGCAGTGGAGGGGAAATAGAAGAGCTCTGTTGCTATGGATACAGCAAACACAGAAAGGGAAGGCAAGCAGAGTATCCTGGAAGCAAATGGGAGATGTCTTAATCTCTGTGTTAAAAAGAAATATATTCCTTATGGCTAGGGCATGACATTTACCTTTTAGCAGTATAGTCTTTATTGTTAAAATGGTGCCAGAAAATGTTTCAAGACTTTGTGTCCTCTGGCTACTTTTTATTTTTGGAACAAAACAGGTTTTGTTCATTGATTTCGGGAGGGGGGTGAGGGGTTGTCTTCTGTGAACGCTATACTTTTAATGAAGAAGAAAACTCTGACACTGGAGGCAAGTTTTGTTTATTAAAATGTAAAACAAGATGGAACGTAGTATAAAGTACTTTGCATGATTCTATTTATGATCTTCACAGTGTTTTCATATAGTCAACAACACTATCCACAACCTGTACTGCAGCGGGAAAGGTGAGCAAGCCCTGGTTAAAAAAGTTAATCATGCCATGAAAACCATCCATCATATGTTGCCAGGTGACATAATTTTCCAAGTCCAGCAGCCGTTTCCTGTAAAGAATCCCATCATCCCTCAGGACATCATACTCACAGGTGAGGATGAAAGTGGGCGGGGTTTTCTGAATGACAGCATCATCTGCAAGTAAAGGTGAGACCTCAGGTTCCAAACCAGCTTTGATTGTGTGGTACACCTCCCCATCATATTCTGGGGGTGGGTGCTCACGGAAACCCCGTACGAGGCACTCAGGAGGTAGGTTGGAAGGGGAGAGCCACTTCTTATAGCTTGGCCTAAGCTCAGTGGGGACATGGTTTCCTTCCAAAACATCTTGGCACACAGACATATCCCCATTGAGGTACTGCAGGAAGTAGAACGCCATCCGGCCACGAAACAATATGGGCACAGCATGATTTTGCTGGTATGAGGGCAGGTTGAAATCTGCCATCTGCAGGGCTGGGTAGATGAGGACCTGAGCACAGGGGAACGGCAGATGTCCATCCTCTCTCCTCGCCAGCCTTTGGCACAGTGCTGCTGCCAGGTTACCCCCAGTGCTGTCCCCTCCAACTGCCACTCTGTGAGAGTCCACGCTGAACTCTGCCTCAGCCACAGACAGGAAGTGACACGTCGCTGTCTCACAATCGTCCAGCTGAGCAGGGTACCTGTGCTCAGGGGCTAATCGGTACCTAAGAGGGGTGACAGGGAAGGCGGAGGGACAATATGTTGAATTCTGGCTCTTTGGTAGACAAAATAAGTTTCAAATATTTATGTGCATTGCGGAAAATGTTTAAGTACCCAACAGAAACCACAGTGGTGTCCGACTCCATAGCGATGTGCCGACAGACTTCATCAACAGAATCTGTTCAGGATTAGTTGGACATTACAGTTAGAAAAATATATGTTATGGTCTTTTATAAGAAGCAGCCAAGCACTCCAGACATGACATTTTTGTTTCTCTCTCTACTTACACTCTTTTGTGTATTCATTCGTATTATTTTAAAAATCAATTAGATTAAATACACATTAACTTACATCCAGAGATGGAAAGTTTTACAAATTTGTAGTTCATTTAAGTACTGTAATTCTAAAGTATGCAACTTTCTTCTACTTCACTACGTCTCAGAGAAAAATATAATATCTTTTACTTTTTGCTTAGGTAGCTTTTAGTTACTGGTTACTTTGCAGATACTTAACTTTAATTAAATATGAAGATCGTAAAAATATGTGTGAATTCTTAAAGCTCAAACTACCCAACAGTATATAAAGTAGGAAGACTTTAGCACCATCTGGACATAATACAACATCAAAATACACCATATACACTCAACCCTTCTTTCTTTTCCTTGTTTTCCCAGTATATTACTGCAATACATCTATAGTTTCATGGCTCAGTCCTTTAGCTAAATGTAAAATAAAGGGTGACCTGTCCACTGCCAAAAATTAAACGCAGGATGGGAGCTATTATCTCCGAATTGATTGATACGTCCATTAATAAAGGACAACACTAGACACCAAATGGATAAGCAAAGTCATCAGTGTCTTCTGATGCTATCAAATGTTTGTCTGAATCACTTAGGTTTAGAAATATAGCAGGGAAACAGGCCTACATGCTCATTTATAATCAGTTGACCAACATATATAAATGATGATTTTACATCTATAAGTCAAACTCAATTATATATGAGAATATATCTCTCATTTAAACAGTCAAAAAATCAGTTATTGCAATAATTGAGTATTTCTTTACATTATGGCATTTCTGCTATTACTTAATTAAATGATCTGAACTTTATATACCTATACTGCCCAACACCCATCCTCCTCCATGGAAATACACAAGACCTCTTCTCAACCCTTCACACACAGTGGTGGGTTCATAGACTCGCACTGGCACCTCAGAAAACTTCCAATCCTTCACTCGCAGGCCCGCAGGAACTGGATTTAAGCGAGTCAGAAAACAGGCCACAAACCATCGGATAAAGCTGACCTGATGACAAATACTCAGACGATGTAGGATCCGGCCCTTGTAGGAGAGGAACCACAGACTTACAACAAGTGGCAGTGGTTTTAAAAAAAAAAAAGTTCTTGATGGGTAAAGTCAAACTGAAAGTTATTCTCTCTGAGAAACGATATTTACTATGACAACATAAAAGAAGGATAAAACATGACCTTGCCTTTTTTGCACCTTTGTTAGACTTGATTTCTTATCTAAAATGTCTCTGATCTAAGCTTTATCAGTTGCTGAAGGACAAAGAAAGGACAGCCATCTTTGACAAGGCCTATAGGAGTAGAGTTCATTTTTTTTATCTTTCACAAGCAGAAGCATTTCCCTTTACACTAAGGAATAAGTTAATTTAATAATAAAAAAGTTAATTATAACAGATACAATAACATGCAGGAAACATAAAAATAAGCACGAACATGTTCATAGATTTGGAGATACTCACCACGATTGCTATGCCAACAAACAAACCATGAACCATGTGCAGCTTCCCACTATTTCTAACCCCATGAGGAATGTCTGAATTCATCAGCTCAGAGTGCACAAGTCCAATTACCAGAAGGAGGAAGGCTGCAACAAGAGCAGCGAAGCCAATTATTAAAATTGCAGAGCTGATGTCCATGGTGTTGCTGGTCTGCTCTGCTGAAGGTAAGTCATTAGGAGTAGATGTTTTATCTACCTTCTTTCAGCCACTTTTCACTCCACCCACATCTGTGTGCAATGCATTCTGACCTTGGTTTCACTTAATGACATGTTTGGCTGCCTGTTGCCTAGGAAAAAATAATTATATTCTTCAACATTTTTATGGCTGTGTAGTCAAAGTAATTACACATTTCCCAAAGAAACCAAGTTGTTCCATTATGAAATAGTTCACAAAATAGTTTTTATGTTAATAGAGCAGCTTTTAATTACTTTTCCATTACATCTCTTACGTTGCCTACCAGTCTCTAGCAATATCTTTTGAAGGTTGTGTTTTTTTCCCTCTGCTTTCATTCATGCCCCTTGTATTGAGGAAACCTCTGCTGCTCACAGCTGCACTCAGCACAGAATGGCATTTTCATTGTCTGGTGTTTAATGGAAGGAAATGTCCATGACGGCTGACTGTGAACTGCCTTATCTGAACTTTCACTGCTGATCTGTAGATGGCAGTGATAGCATGAGTATAAATAAACAGTGCTTTCTAAAATACATACTATTTACATTTTTGCATTCTGCGTGCAACCTGAATCCATTTGCCACTCGCTGTAATATATATCTTAAGATTTTTTTCTTGTGTTTGCAAACCAACTAACTAACCGATTTCACTTCAATTGAGATATGTTTGTATAAAGTTCCAATGCAACTTGACTTTGGGTTCACATTTTGTAAATCTTAGAAATTTCCAAAATGAAGACAGCATCTGGAGTTGGAGTTTTAGCCCCCCGAGAGCCTCTCTGGCTTCTCTAAGTAGCTGAGCCCAGCACAAAGCAACCATTGTGAGGCTGCTCTTTAAATCCATCCCAGTTGCTCAAAAAGCCCTGCATTCAGCGATATCCAGCAAAAATCACAGTGCCAGGGCCAAAAATCACAGACTGGAATAGTGTCTGAGGCCCATGAATTCATAGGATTTGTTTGGGAGGTATTCATGCACTTTGGCACCCTGCCGAGCTTCTGAGACCTGTCTGACCTACTTCCCAAATTGCACTGTCACACATATGTGACAGTGCAATTTGGGAAGTAGGTATGTATGTATATGTATATATGTATGTATGTATATATATATATGTATGTATAATATGTATAATATTTGCTCCACAAATTGGGTTAAACAATTGATGTGGCTTTGTGCATAGGGAACCACTACAAAGGACAAACTGAATGTTGTGTATCATCAAATAAAACATGCTTGCATGCTTATAAAACTGAAGACAATATTTGCTGTAATTTATTATGTGAGCTTTTGATACAGCGGATCACCTAGAACTAGACTTGACTTTTACATGTGTTATGAGGCTACAAATTTGTTGCAGGTTTGTCAGCATCAAAATACTGAAGATGGAGAAAGCAGAGATCAGTAACTGACTCAAGGGCACATCAGCTATGTACTTTTCATTGTGCAATTTGAAACCCAGATTGCCCAACATAATCACTTAAATTGTTTTCCAGTTCTTGTATGTTTTGAAATGGATTTTGCATGTATATTACTATTACACTTATTACTGATTCTTGGGTTATAGTGTTATGGTTACAATTAGTGCTTAACTGATTATGTGTCTGCTTATTTGTTTCACGTAATTAAAAGGGGGGCTGGAGAAAGGGTTATTTTAGCTTTCTGTCATTTTAAGCTCTTGACCAAATACCCCTATCTCACACTCTTATATAAGAATAGTTTGGTTATTTTGCATTGACTTAGTGAAACGTGATTGAAACATCATTGTCTATGTTATGCAACGAGTCAATGCAATTTTAATGAAGTTAAGCATTCCTAAACTAGATTAGGCACCCACCTAGGACG